CATGGCGGAGCGGGCGCGGGCGCGGGCGGCGACAGCTCCTGCGGGCCCTCCGCGGACGCCCAGCCGCCACCGGTCCAGAGAGCGGTCGCCGCCTGGTGCGGCCCTTGGCCCGGAGCCCAAAGGAAGGGCCGCTCCCGAACCCCTTCCGGGCCGCTCGCAGTATCGCACGACCTTCTACCGAGGGGTGGCCCCTGGGGCGCTGCGGTGGGAGGGGGTGGCCCCGCTGCTGCAGGGTCCTCGCCCCACCGCCTCCTCCGCCTTCCGCCGCCTGCGGCTGCAAGGCGGTGCGCCTTCCCCCACGACCGCTACCGCTACAAGTGACCTCTTTATTTACGTATTTATGGGTTTTTATTAAACGTAAAATGGTCAGATACCAAGTTTGCAGGACAAAGCGTGATTTCTAAATTAGAAAGCAGGCAGCGGGGAGATCCCTGTCTTGGGGATAATGGAGGGCTGGCACGGAGTATCCGCTGACCTCCACCACCCTCCCCGCCTGCCAAGCAGGACCAGGGAGCTTGCGGGAGCCGGAATCAGGGCGGCCGGATGCGACCAGGCGCGCAGGGCCTGAGAACAGGGGCTGGCGGGGAGCTGGCGGTGCGCCCGGGCTCTCCGAGCCGCAGGTCGGAGTTGCACTGGGCGGCGGAGAGCGCCCTCTGCAGGGTTTAGGGCGCGGTGCGCTCCTCCCGGCAGCCTTCCCGGGGCCACGGTTTGGAAGGTGGGTACTGGCCCAAGATCCGGAGGCTTCAGGGCAGAAGGGAATGTCCAACTGGCGCTGCAGGCACTGACTTGTCTCTTTCAAATCAGGTCATGTTTCAAACCACAAGGTCAGTCATCAGGGTCAAGGTGATTTAAGAGTATTAGGCTCCTGGGGCACCTGGGTGGCTCAGTCGGTTAAGCGTCCGACTTCAGCTCAGGTCATGATCTATCTCTCAGTCTGTGAGCGCGAGCCCCGCGTTGGGCTCTGTGCTGACAGCTCAGAGCCTGGAGCCTGCTTTGGATTCTGTCTCTCTCTCTTTGCCCCTCCCAACTCATACTCTACCTCTCTCTCAAAAATAAACAAACATTTAAAAAAAGTTTAATTATCCTGACACTTGAAAAAGAATGAAACTGCACCTCTACCTTAAATCAGACACAAGAATCACCAAAATACATGACAAGACACCAAAAGCAAAAGAAAAATAAAGAAGTCGGACTAGTCAACCTAAAATGCTTGTGTCTGGCAAGAGAAACCATCAACAAAATGAAAAGACAACCTACAGAATGGGAAAAATTATTTACAACTCATGTATCTGATAAGGGGTTAATATCCAAAAATTATGAAAAACTCCTACAATTAAATTGCCAAAGGAAAAAAATCCAATTTAAATATGAGCAGCATTGGGCACTTGGCTGGCTCAGTAGAGCATGCAACTCGATCTCGGGTTCAAGCCCCACATTGGGTGTAGAGATTACTTAAAAATAAAACTTTAAAAAAAATTTTTAATATTTATTTATTTTTGACAGAGAGAGAGAGAGAGAGACATAGCATGAGCGGGGGAGGGGCAGCGAGGGAGACACAGAATCCAAAGCAGGCTGCAGGCTCCAAGCTGTCAGCACAGAGCCTGACGCGGGGCTGGAACTCAGACGGCGAGATCATGACCTGGGGCAAAGTCCGACGCTCCACCGACTGAGCCACCCAGGCGCCCCTAAAAATAAAATTTTAAAGGGGCGCCTGGGTGGCTCAATCAAACTACTGACTTTGGCTCAGGTCATGATCTCCAGGTTTATGAGTTCGAGCCCCACATGGGGCTCTGTGCTGACAGCTCGGAACCTGGAGCCTGCTTCGGATTCTGGGTCTCCCTCTCTCTGCCCCTCCCCCACTTGCACGCCTGCTCTCTCTCTCTCTCAAAATAAACATCAAAAAATTTTTAATAAAAATTAAAAAATGAAATCTTTTAAAAAATGAAAACTTAATAGACATTTTTCTACATAAGACATACAATCGCAAACAGGTACTTGACATCACTCAGCAGGGAAATGGAAATCAGAACCACAGTGAGGTATCACCTCACATGTGTTGGAATGGCTATTATCAAAAAGAGGTAAGTGTTGGGGAGGATGTGGAGAAAAGGGAAGACTTGTACACTGTTGGTGGCAATGCAAATTGGTGCAGCCACCATGGAAAACAGTATGGAGGATCCTTAAATTTAAAAACAGAGCTGCAGGGCGCCTGGGTGGCTCGGCCAGTTAAGCATCTGACTTCGGCACAGGGCACGATCTCACGGTTCGTGAGTTCGAGCCCTATGTCGGGCTCTGTGCTGACAGTTCGGAGCCTGGAGCCTGCTTCGGATTCTGTGTCTCCCTCTCTCTCTGCCCCTCCCCCTCTCTCACTGTGTCTCTCAAAAATAAAATAAACATTTAAAAAAGAATTAACTAATAATAATAAATAAAAACAGAACCACCATAGATTCCAGCAATTCCACTTCTGGGTATTGATCCAAAGAGAGTGAAAACACTAATTTGAAAAGATTTATGCACCCACATGTTCACTGCAGCATTATTTCCAATAGCCAGGACATGGAAACAACATAAAGATCCACTGGACAGATGAACAGATACAGAAAATGTGGTGCGTGTATACAGTGGAATATTACTCAGCCTTATTAAAAACAAATGAAATCATGTCATTCAGGACAAAGTGCATAGACCTTGAGGCTATTACGCTAAGTGAAATAAGTCAGAGAATGACAAATACCAAATGATCTCATTTACATGTGGAATCCAGAACAAAACAAAAACATAAACAGCTCACTGATACTGAGAAAAGACTGGTTTGCCAAAGGCAGGAGGTGGGGAGGTGGGCAAAACAAGTGAAGGTGTCAAAAGACCCAAACTTCCTGTCGTAAGATAAATGGGTTTCTGGGGATGTAACATACAGTCTATTGACTATGGTTAACAATGCTGTGTTGTGAAGGTAAAAGTTGTTGAGAGATTAAATCTTAAAAGTTCTCAACACCAGAAAAGAATTTGTAACTGTGTGAGGTAATGGGTGTTAACGAGACTTAACTGTGATCATTTCATAATACACACACACATCATTATGCTGCACACCTTACATACAATGTTGTATGTCAATAAGAAAAAATAAGGCAATTACCCCCCTCTCTCTGCCCCACCCATTTGTGCTCTCTCTCTTTCAAAAATGAGTAAACATAAAAAATTAAAACATAAAAAAAATTAAGACATAAAAACAAAAAGGGGGCACCTGGGTGGCTCAGTCAATTGAGCATCCGACTTCAGCTCAGGTCATGATCTCGCAGTTCGTGAGTTCGAGCCCCGCGTAGGGCTCTGCGCTGACAGCTCAGAGCCTGAGGCCTGCTTCAGATTCTGTGTCCCCCCTCTCTCTCCACCCCACCCCTGCTTGTGCTCTGTCTCTGTCTTTCAAAAATGAATAAACATAAAGATTTTTTTAAAAATAAGGCGATTGCAATAGAGATATTACAATAGGTCTCAACTCTGAACACAGCAAAGACAAGTGGGGATTTACAGCCAACATGCAGAGAGTGGGGATCAGTGGATGGAAAATTACTTAACAGGGACCATCAAGGATAGGAGGATTCTTGATAAACCGAGTTCGCAGGATTCTTGCTGAAGGCAGGCCGAGGTCTTCCACAGCAACGGTGGATGAGGAACTCAATCCAATAATGAAAGTGATCAGAGATCAAGGGTGAGGGTGCTCTCTCAACTGATTTAGCAGGATTCTTGCTAAACTGGGCTATGCAGTCCTGGCCAGGGTCAAGGTTGAGGCCTAGTGGAGAAGGGGCTTCAGAGGAACCGGACTAGTTTGGTCAAGGAGAGAGGCACTGTCAGGTTAGGACGGTACAATTCAAGATCCACCAGAATCGTCAAAGATTAGGGGGAAAAAAAGAAAAGAGAAGTGAAGAGGAAAGAAGCGCCTGGGTGGCTCAGTCGGTTAAGCGTCCAAACTCCACTCAGGTCACGATCTCACGGTTTGTGCGTTTGAGCCCCGTGTCGGGCTCTGTGCTGCCAATGCAGAGCCTGCTTCGGATCCTGTCACCCCCTCTCTGCCCCTCCCCTGCTAGTGCTCTCTCAAAAATAAGTAAACATTAAAAAAAAAAAAAGAGAGAGAGAGAGAGAGAGAGAGAGGAGGAGAGAAAATTGCCCACACGAATGGAGATTATCTTAAATCGATAAAGGGAGAGTCCCCAAAGCACAGCGAATCCTTTTTCCCCGTTGACAATACACACTGGGGGCCCTTTAGTGCTCTGGGAAGATCTGTCCTTGAACGTTGTTCTTCACCATAGTTATTTAGGCCTAAACAGATTCGATGTGTCCTATTCTCTCTTCCAATCCCAAGTCACCCTCTCCCTCCCTGACTCCAGTGAAAGCCAGGAACTGTGTTCAGAGTACAGGGGTCAGAATTGCTTCAACTGCTAACGGTACATCAACGACCTTGCTCCTTCTAGGAATGAGCTGGAAGGAGAAGGGAATTCAGTAAATCTAGCTTCGTACGAAGAAACGTTGATTGATGGTGAAGCGTGCCGTGAGAATAGAGCGAAGGGCAACACTCCCCGGCATGACACAGGACTCACCCCCA